TTTAGGATTAAACAAAGACTGTGAATGGCTAGCCAACTACAAAAGCAGTTTCTCCTCTTTTGGTGTTCACACCTCCACATCAGCTGCTAGAAGTGGGCCTCATCCTCCCTGACTGAATTGACATCGTTCTCTCTAGCCTTACTCTTGATTGGAACTCTTTTCTTATGCCTGTATATTTATACCTGCCTCTGGAATTTCCACTACATGCATCTGACAAAGTGGGTCTTTGCCCACGAAAGCTTATGCTCCAATAAATCTGTTAGTCTATAAAGTGCACAGGACTTCTCATTGTTCTTTCAGATTCAGACTAACATGGCTACCCTCTGGTATTTCTCTGAGAATGGTTATCCAGCCAGTTATTCACCCACCTTATAGTAGCCCCATCTAAGTTTTGTATTTGCCTAGTTTATTGATAAGAATATCATGTGAGACTGCCTTACTTATCAAATGCCTTACTAAAGTCTTGGTATATGACATCCACCACTTCTCCCTTATCTACAAGACTCGTTATCCTATCAAAGAAAGCTATCAAATTGGTTTGACGTGATTTGTTCTTTACAAATCCATGCTGGCTGTTCCCTATCATCTTCTTATCTTCCAAGTGTTTGCAGATGATTTCCTTAATTACTTACTCCATTATCTTTCCTGGCACAGAAGTTAAACTGACTGGTCTGTAGTTTCCTGGGTTGTTCTTATTTCCCTTTTTATAGATGGGCACTATATTTGCCTTTTTCCAGTCTTCTGGACTCTCTCCTGTCTTCTATGATTTTCCAAAGATGATAGCTAAAGGCTCAGATACCTCCTCTATAAGCTCCTTGATGTGTTAATGCATAGTTCCTCAGTTGTTATAGTGTTCACCTCATTAGGTTGCACCTGCTGATTTGCTTAACAGCTCTTTGTAACACTATTACTCATGTCTAAAACATCTATTAAGGTTTATTAATCCTTTATAAACAGAACCTTAAAGTAAACTGTGGCCAAATAAATGTTAGCTTTACTGTTGGGATTTCCTACATGATTATTTTATTCTCTATGTACTTTATTAGACTTGGGAGAATTTGATTTTTAATTTTTATAATTTTGACATTCTGTATATCACTGTTTAATTGTAAGCATCTTTTTACTGTAGATTTTTACAGTTGCGGGAGATTATGGGAAGACTCAGATAGTAATTATTCCATAGCAGTAGATATTGAGATTCCAAAAATGTAAACATCAGGTGTCAAAATATAGAAAGTAAATACTTTAATTCAAACTCTAAAAAGTTCTGAAAAAGCATTTTTTATACTTTATCTCTATTTTGACTATCATTGATAAAAATAATTTTTAATCAGTTTCTGTGTACAGTAAAATCAGCTTTTACCATTAAAATCTAATGCTTCCAAGTCTAATTATATGTGCTAACTTAGTTAAATTCTGTTTATATGCATAAAATCGATCACTTCTATTAATGCATTAGAACATTTGCAGAAATCACTTCTGATCCATAATGCACAAAATTGTGGAAATCTAAAAGAACCTACTGAAAACCATTTAAAAATCTTATGACAAAGAATTAAAAAAGGCAAAAGAGACATTGTTCTTGTTGAAATGAGGGTATAGAGAGAATGCATATCATTGTTGGACTCAGTGGAAGGCATATTGACCTTGAGTCAGAGAGTAAAAACTGACAGGAATGAAGATCAGTTATGTTCTCTGAAGTCAGTGTGGGATTGCCTCCTACCTTCAGTCATATTCTTTATGTTTAGACAATCTGCATGTCACGGTTAGTGTCCTTAGGAGAGCACATCTTTCACATATTTATTCCTGTAGCACTAGTCATCTAGATTTATAGTGAGAATTATGTATAACACCTAGTATTTCCAGACTTCTACTCATTTAAAGAGTTCTGACACTCAGTGGGTTCTACTGCATTTATCTGAAGATATGGGAATTGTTGCATTTGTTTTTCCAAAGTTATTCCTGAACTATCTTCAGAAGTTAAAAATAAGAAAAATATATAAAAATGGCATAAATTGTATTTATTTTCTAGATGGCTTTTGTGGTGTAAATCAAGTTATTCCTTGATTTAAGTTATTCCTTAAATAACTATTAACCACAGGTGAGCTAGAAGTAAGCAATGAAAATCATAGACAAAAATATTTACAATAGTACATTTTAAAAGTGCTAAATATTTCCATCAAACCTGGAACTTACTCTGTCTCACGCTTGATGTGTTCATGAACATCGGTCCCTGATTTCAAAATTGATGGACTCTGGCTAAGGTTTTTCTCATAGCTGCATTTTGCCAACCCCTGCCAGTCACTCTCTGAAATAGTTTTATGCAGTCAGAGTTGCTTGGTTTTTTTAACAGTATAATCTTTAAAAAGGGAGGGAGATCTTTTATTTAAAAAAAAAAAATCAAAACTCAGAGTTAGAAATGTAGAGATAGTCTTTTAAAATAATTTGTTGCAAGACACTCCTTAAAGTTAAATAAAGCAATACTTATCTGATGAATTGTGGCTTAAAATCCATGGCTACGTCTATACTGGCATGATTTTGTGCAAATGCTTTTAATGGAAGAGTTTTTCCGTTAAGAGTATTTGCACAAGAGAGCGTCTATACTTGCATGTGCCTTTGCACAAAAGCATCCGTGCCAGTGTAGACGCTCTCTTGCGCAAGAAAGCTCCAATGGCCATTTTAGCCATCGGGCTTTCTTGCGCAAGAAATTGATGTTACCTGTCTACACTGGCCTCTTGCGCAAGAACCTGTCACTTGGGGAGCCAGTTGGAATATAGGGTTTTCACACCTTGCATGCCAGGCAGGCAGGCTTCTTCAGTTAAGAACAAGAGCTGTAGATAAGGTTTGCCTTCCTATGTTATCCTGTTAGCCCAGTCACCCACTAGGAAGCTCTGAATGGCTGTTCCTACTTGTATTGCAACATTCTGGTAAGGTATTAGTAAGATTGCACGGATGGGGGAACCTAAGGCCTGGGGTCAGATGCAGCCCATGGCTTGCCTGGATCCAGCTCCCAAGACTCAGGTCGTTCCCCCCTACCCCCAGCATTGGGGAGCCCGCAGTGGCGCTCCGCCCCTTCCTCCCTCTCTCATCCCCCTGTGGGGCTGGAGCACACAAAATCTACTAGCTTGGGCCCCCATAGGCTGTGGTATGTGGGGAATGTCTTGCTCCTTCTTAGTTGGGGGTCACATCAGTGAGTGTTCAATTATTTTTTTGGCTTCTCACTTGTGTGCGCCCCCTGACTGATTTTTCTGTGGGTCAGCAGCCCCGACCCAAAAAAGGTTCCCCACCCCTGAGTTAGAAAAATTTACTTTTTGTTGATGTAGATGCCACCAGTATCAAAAAATCGATCCAACTAGCAGTGACCTAACAGTGAAATAACAATGGAGAAGCTAAGGTAGGCTAGGCTAAAGTACTAGGAAGGTAGAACTGATCAGCATTTACTGGCTTAAATGCATCTTCCCTCTCTCTTTGGGGCTACTATGGTAGGATGCCTCTGAAAACGCACGACCTATGGCTATATCAGCTGATGTGCGTAAATCCTGTCAGTAATATCTCAAGTAGGTGTGGACCCGCGGCTCCCCTCAGCTGGAAACGGTGAATTGGAGCCAGTGGGAGCTGCGAGGCTTCATGGCAGTGGGTCCTACAGGTATACAAAGTGGCACAAGCCTGCTAGTGGCTTTCCCGAGGCAGGCCTGCAGCCCATTTTAAGAAATACTGGTGTAGGGTAAAAGTACAGAGGAGATTTCACAGTGGAGACCAGATTTCACAGCTGACATATTTTTCACAGTTGTGAATTTGGTGAGGCCCTAAGGCAGAAACTGGAGAAGGTAGTGGCATGACAGAACATCCTTAACGTTAGCACTGGCATTACTAGCAATGGTGGGACAGCCAACCCCTGTGATCTTGATATTGAGCTAATATTCTGGTGGGTATATTTTTGCATGTGGCATTCCCATGAGAGTCCTGTGAACGTGACTTGTTCTCATTGTGATTTTATTCTCCCCCCTGTCATTTAAAAAAGGGGAGGGGGAATAAAAAAGTAAGAGAAATGTATTGCCAATTGTGCACTGGATTCTGCATTGACCATATAGAACAGTGATTTAGGAATGTAGCTTTAAAAGATCCGTCCCCATATATGTTTTACTTTGTTTTATTTGGATTAATTCTTAATTTTTCTAACATAAAAAAAATTTTGCTCCATTAAAAAAAAATAAAATGTGGATATGTAAACTTTCTGAAACACTTTGATTTTATTTAATTCAGACCAAATATTTTTCAGCTGCCTTGGAAGTCACTGACTAGCATCGTTGAATATTATTACATGTGGAAAACTACTGACAGATATGTACAACAGGTAATTTTATATCTATTTCAGTATGAACGGACCTGGAATATTTTAGAATAGTCTTAAAACATTGAACTTCTACAAAAATTATCTACAAATAGTATTTTCTAGGAACTTATGTATTCCTTTATTTTTTTAAAAAAGATCTGTTCTAAAACTATTTTTGAGATTTGGAGTTTTAAAATATTTAATTTGCTTTGCATTGCTTTTGATGCAGTTTCATTTCCCCAGATTTAGGTTTCAATCTAAAAGATGCTTTAACAGGGTTAAATAGTTGCACATTAATATGAAGTGCTTTTTCCTCCAAAGGACAGTTATTGTACATTTTGAAAAAAGAGAAAATTTTAAAATTATTGAATTTTTGATTATATGAATTATCCTTTACATTTTAAATTGCTGAATGAGCCATTTTACAAAGTGAGGTCACATAAAGCAACACTGCAGAGGAGGGACAAGGTTATCCACAGTGCTCTGCTTTGGTTCATATGGCTAGTCTCATAAAGCACAATTATTTGATCTTCCATAGTAGTTGTTATAAATGCTGTTTGTTAGTTTTTATTTTTATAGGTGGATGAGAAAGAAAGTATTAGTATCACAACAGAAGCCATGTTTTTCATTATGGTTTGGCTTTACAGCACAGGAATAAGAGCAAAAGATATACACGAGACCAAATTCTGAACAAGAGTCAGAGCTTGCATTAAAGAGCTTTGTTTTCCTTAGACAGGTTTCATGTCTGAAGGATGGAATTCTCAGCATTTTTAGTTTTCTGAGCTGTGGCTTCTGTTCCAGAGCGTGGGGTTAGAGGGAGTGGAGTGTGGCTCTATTTGGTTCTTTGGTTTTGGCCCAATAATTCTCTGCTGTTTACCAGATGTGCTAGCCTCTGGAAACTCCACAGTCCTTCACACTCCATGAAGTACGTTATGGCATAAAATGGATGTAATGATCTCCCACCTGAATTCTTTTGCTGCCTGTGTAGCGGAAATATATTAATGCTTTTGTATCCTGCCTTGTTTTTCTGTGTTTGGATGTTGCGGGTAATGGTTACTCTAGATTTGCCTCATTGTGTATTTACATACTGTATTCTTTGATTCAACTGCTCCAAAATATTTTAAAATACCATCTTTTAATTTGTGATTTTACAGTTCAGTTATTTAAATCTGTAACTAAATCCTTTAAAATCAGTAATGATGCTGCATATAGAATGCTGAAAATAAAACTGTTGGTTATTAGATAGGTCTGTGCAGCACTTCCAGATCCCATTGCAGTGAATTAGAGAGATCATTTCTCCAATCTAAGTTCTATTTTCTTGATGGTATGGATGCATCTTCCAGTTGGCAATGCATGTAAGTGAGAGGAGGGAGGTGTGTCATCATTTGAGGTGCTACTACAGCATGTATGTTTAGATTTTTTGAAATTCATCATCTTTTCATCTGCTTCTTTGCACCACAAGTTTTTATCTTGGAAAGGTTTTTCTAGTTGGGAAGTTGAGGCTATAAATATACCTAAAACTAAAAGTCATCCCCAGACATCCATCATTAAAGGTTGAGATATATGGATCCTTTCAGCTGTAGATGGTTGGTTCTAATTTGAAAACTTTGCTATTCAATGACTGTTTATTCACCTCAAAAAACAAGTAGTCTTTGGCAGCTTAGAGACTAACAAAAATATAGAGAATTATGAGCTCTCGTGGGTAAAACTCACTTCATCAGATGAGTTGAATTGGAAATAACATAAACCAAAATAAATATATATCAGCAAAAACAGTTACCTGTCATACGTAGGACCTATGTTAATGAAGCTAATTAAGGGGGCTGGATATGTCCCAGTTATAGCTTTTGATGTGAAAATGCAAAGGTCAAAGACCAGGGAAATTGGCTTTGTAGTGTATTAACCAGTAAAAATCTTTATTCGAGCCCGGGTTGACTGTCAGATTTGTAAATGAATTCTAGTTCAGCAGTCTCTCTTTGTAATTCGGTAGTAAAATTCCTTTATAAAAGAATGGCCATTTTGTGTGTGAATTGGCTACCACTGCAGTAGAACCTCAGAGTTACCAACACCGTAGGAATTTAGGATGTTCATAACTCTGAAATGTTTGTTAATTCTGAACAAAATATTGTGGTTGTTCTTTCAAAAGTTTACCACTGAATATTAACTTAATGAAGCTTTGAATCTTTACAGTGCAAAAGAAAAAAAACGCTGCTTTCCCTTGATTTTTTTTGTTTGTTTATGATTAACACGGTACTGGATTGTCTGTATTTGTGTTTTTGGTGGTTGTTGTTGTTTATTTGTATTTTTGTTTGTTTGTTTGTTTTGCCTGCTGCTGCCTGATTTCACAGTTCTGGTTCCAAGTGAGAAATGAGATGTGTGGTTGACTGATCAGTTCATAACTCTGGCATCTGTAAATCTGAGGTTCTGCTATAATTGATAATCTAGCTTGGCAGCTATAAGCAATGATTTTATGTGTACGGAGACTCATCCGCCACCTCACCTCCAAAACTTGGTCCTGTCAAGTCAAGAAGAAGGAAAATAGGTTTGGCAAACTTTGCTGCCTGTACTGACTCTGTTAAGTAGATAAATCTAGAACTTCAATTATCGTTGCTGTCAGTCTGGCATTTTTCATGAATGCTGATAGACGAGCATTTTGGAACTAAATGAGCCCAGGTGACTCACTCACTGAAGATTCAGTCTCTTATTTTCCCATTTGTGTTTTCCTCTTAAAATTTTAGTTCACATGTAAGGAGGTATAATGACTAACCTTAAGCAGAAAAGGTGCTGCATGAATGAATGCATGTCTCTGCTGTCCCACAGTTCAGATTATTGGAGTGCGAGTTAGGGATGTAAGGGAGTAGTTGACTTGTTGACTGGTCTAGGCTCATCAGAGGGAAAGTCGGAGCTGGTGCTGTGGGGAGCCAGTTTAAATGCCGTTTCCTTTCCCCTCCCCCCGCCATTTCTGTGGTGCTGCCTATCCGTTCCTTCCCCACTGCTGTCTCTATCAGCAGGGTGGTCCAACTGCAAGGGAGGTGTGATTCCCCCGCGGACAGGGGATGCTTCACAGCAACCCGCTCGGCTTTGCATTTAAAATGTAGTAGGAACCAGGCAGGCAGGCACCTCAACTCAGTCCCAGCTCACTCCGGGTGTGGGACCAAACTCAGCTGCGGCTCTCAATTTAAAATGCAGTAGGAGCCAGGGGGCAGGCCGCCCAGTTCCTGCTGCCTTTTAAATTGCAGAGCCACAGTGGGATTTGGTCACACACCCAGTGTGAACCAGGCTGCCTGGTAGTGGATAGAATTTTTATCGACTACTCGATTAATTAAATATTCGTCTCTTAACATCCCTAATGTGAGTAGCAGAGTGCACTGAAGTGTAGCACTGTAACTCCTCTGGGTGAATGGTATATATGTGAACTAAAACTTTCCTAGTTCACATTAATATCCTCTTTGAAGGAGACTGCATTACTCAGGCCTACTCAGGGGCGTAAAGGGGGCAATTGCCCCCAGGCCTGGCAAATCAAAAGGTCCTGGGGGCTCCCGGCCACCATAGCCACAGGATGGGTGTCAGCCCCCACCCTGGCTCTTTAAATTGCCTCTGGAGCAACACGGTGTGCGCCATGTACTCTGGGTGGCTCTTAGGGCTGTGGGGAAGTGGAGGGGTGGAAGGAGAGAGCAGTGTGGCTATATAAAATATAGATGAGAGATAGTTATAGAGTCTTGATTGTGTCACTCTAGATCATCTTAGCTATGATGTGGTCTTAAGCCTCAGAACAGTTTTTGGAAAGAAATTGTGTATAAAATTGGTATCTATTACTTTTATCAAAGAACAATGTGTTCTTCCAGTATTCTGCAGTTAGTATATTGCTTGAAAAGCGAGAGTTTCCCAATAGAGATGAAAAATTAGACCTATCTTAGCCTGTTGTCCAGGACTTCCTTCTGCTCAGAGGATTTTAAAATCTAATTTTATTTTACCATAGCATCATAGGGTTTCCACTGTGACATCTGACCCTGATTATGCCTTAGGTTCTCAATGCATAATGCCATGCGGATCTATTTATGCAAGGAGATGGCACTAATACAATAATCTTACTTTTAGGTGGTGATTTTCTGAACTAAATTGTAATAGTCTACTAAGCTGGATGTCTAAGCCAGATATGAGTTCTGGCGAAAGTTGTCTCTCTCCTTTCTGCTAATTCTCTCACACTGAAATATGCTTCCTTTTCATTCCCCCAACACGAACACAAAGCTAAAACTCATAGTTGAAAATGCATGTTAATGTAGAATTTGTGATTATTTTTTATTTCCAAGGATTTGTTATTAATTATTATTATTTCGGTGTTCTCCAGTCAGCTTGGGTGCATGCCACAGGCATCAGGAACCACAAATGTGTCTAGCTCTAATCTTTCTTACCCTCACATGTCATGGAGATGGGGGAAACTTGTAGCAGGCATCAGAAGCTTATGTCCCATGGCTTTTTGAGCCTCAGCCTTGGCACTGTTCTCCTATCTGCCCAGTGTTTTGGTCCCCACTGCTCTCTGGTTGCAAGGTGGACCTCAGCCATGCTTCACCAAACTCCTGCTGCCTGTCTCCATGAACAGTGCAGAGAACAGACTTTGCAACTCAATTAACTTGCTTTTGTAGGGAACACTGGAAAGCAAAAGGCAGCTGACAGACGGTCCCGGTAGGACAGGGGGATATCAAACAAAATGTTATATGTTTGATTGCAGGAAAACGGCAAATGTGCTGGATTCTTTGGTGTCTTACAAAAATGCCAAATACCACAGCTGTGGAATCCAGATGGCCCTGACTAAGATGAATGGGGCAGCTCACACTTTCAGAGCTGTATTTCCAGGCTGTGCCAACCCAGACAGTTACACTGTGCTTATGCTATCCAGATTATTTCAGGCACCATAAGAAATGAGCATTTATTTAATGAAAGCCATGATTTGGGGGGCATAATTCTGCAGCAAGGGACGAATGCTGCAAAACTATGGAATACATTAGCCCTGTTTATAGGCT